AACCGAATTAGTACACGACTGTAATCTGTAAGGCTTTCACCTTGCAACTGCATTCGGCCGTACAGGGTTCTTGTCAAGGATTGAACGGACTCTGGAGAATCGAACCGTGTTTTTTTTCAGCAGCGCGGTAAGCTTATTGAAATCATCCCTTTGTTCGTTAGGGGTACATAGCACTTCTTCCTTGGCAATCCCGCCCAAGTAATCTAAGGCAGTACTCAATTTTCCCCATCTCCAAGTCCAACTTGCCTACAATATGTCCCGATATCGGCCAACCACTCATGTATGGTCTGATCCCCAGCTCTAGTGGGAGGCCCACAAAATTTCACCAGTCGTACTGTGCTGACTCGCTGGTACTTTAAATTCTGAAATGCCCCTGCAAAGTGTCTGCGAGAGCTTGGTTCGATTGCAATATGGCATCAGCCACATCTGCAGGTAAGGCCATGGTGCAAATATCAAATTGTCAGGACAATACGGTAAGTAAGTGAGGAGATTCAAGTCACACAGAACAGTACAATAATTTAAAAAGACTAACACATGTGTGGCATCTTCATTGTGTACAAAAACATGTACAATTGCCAGTCAATCACTACAGTGTATCATTAATTTTCCATAAATACCGACGTGAATCGTGTAAATAAAATATCAATGGGACCAAAAAACACAAATTACACGACATAATATTCTACATGTAGCTCCAAACCATGTGCCAACTTGCACGACGGGCTGAAATTGAAACTTGAACAAAGCTTAAAGCTTCTTCAAATAATCGCAAGTTTGTTTAAACTCTTAAAACAAATTTTATAATAAACAAATTTTTGATACAGCCCTATAATGATAAGTTCGAACTAAATTTGACACTAGGGGTCTTGTCTGGAAGTGGAAAACGGCATGTCATCCCATCCTCGTCGCCATTCTGTAGTAGCTGGAAAGCCACATATCAAGGGTCGCCTCGTCGGCAGGCCTCGCCGTTGTTTTATTCAACAGATGACATGACAAATGACAAGCTTCAGATCTATCTGTTATCTAGCTTTATTATCCCGAAGAAGACAAGACTTCTTTCAGTAGAATTAAAAACCCTGAAAAATACAATAAGTGAGGTGGCAATTAAGTTTCTAACAAAGTAATCGGTCTGATTTATAAATATTATTAAATAATAAATTATACAGATAAACCTACCCCAGTGCCTTTGGCTTCCGTTATTTAAGGATACACAAAACAGCACAGCTCACAGCTTGGAGAGAAAGCCCTCGAACTGGTCTACACGTCGCAGACTAGGTATGTCTGGCTATGCCAGGCTCAGCCAAAAGAAAAGTTATCGTCTTGCACTTCAATAATAGTACGCCAAAACAGCGTTATCTCCCTGCATCTGCAGCATGCACTGGCTTTTGTGCGCTGTGTCATATAGGCCCCAATGTATACATTTGCCACGCAATGTATACATTTGCATCCAAAACGTATGGCGTGCCTAAGGACGGGGTGACAAAATACGTTTTGATGATTTTCAAATTATTATGAATCGCCACATTAATATTAACAAACTGGAAAGGAAATGAATATTTTCGAGAAGGCGTGGACGAATGATCGCGAAAACACGTCCTGCACGTTGTGAATAACAACACCAAGTACACGATATAAATCCATTTCTAGCCAATTGCGGTATCGAATCAGGATGCAGGAAGGAAGTTTCCTATACAGGGTTTACTATTGAAACAACGTTTAAAATAAAGTAAGCACTGGGGACGAGGTTGAGTCGGTATTAAACCGATCACTTCTGCACCTTGCCAACTCGGCACCTTGCCGGCACAACAATACAGGGCCACTCCATTCAGGGGTCAGACAAGTCGACCGTTGAGACAACTCGACCGTTGAGACAACTCGACCGTATGTGCGATAAATGGAAAGACAAGTCGACCGTTGTGACAAGTCGCCTTGCATGTTTTGGGGCCTAGTTTTGGGGATAGTACCGGGGATTTTGACGGCGGCTGATCGCCGTTTGGGAGTGATGACACAAAAGTTTGGGGTTTTTTGGTAGCATATAACAGAGCTGATATAGCGCAGCATGTTGTCCGTGCACATCGTTCGTTTTTTTTCCAGGCCTGTGCGCGCAACCCCGGTCAACGTGGCCGTACTGTACTGTGCATGGTGGCATCGTTTTTGCCGGGCCTGTGCGCCCATTTGCCGGTCAACTTGTCCGTAGGCCTACCATGCACGGTGAGTCGGTGACATCGTTTTAGCCAGCCCTGTGCGCCCACTTATCTCATCCCCAGTCGGTCAACGTGGCCGTACCGTGCACGGTGACATCGTTTGTGCTGGGCCTGTGCGCCCACTTGCCGTACCTGCGTGCTGGGCCGGGCCCGGTCCTCGCGGGCAGGGCGCGCCGGCCCGACGCGACGGCCACCGGATTGGAGCGCCCTCTGTGCATCGAGTATATGCCCGTGCCGCACCCGGGATTGGTTCTGCCATGCAACTTGTCCCGCTCCACGTGTATACATTTCCATTAAGTCAAGCTGTCTCAACGGTCGACTTGTCCCGAGTCGAGTTGTAACAACATTTGCTATTGTGTCTGTGGGCAAAATGCTTCGCGTATTACGCGAACGCTCACCACGGGCTAGCCCCATAGGCCTAAATGTGGCCAATTTACCTCCGTAAACAAAGGCCACACTTCCACATGTACAAAAACGTGTCGAACTTTGTCAAATTTTGATTTTTACATTTAGGCTTAGTTTGTAGGGTTTTTTTGCTTTAGAAGATACTCACGGACACCCTCTTTATAAGCTAATCTAAAAGTGCTGCCTTTTTCAGATGTCTAATTTTTGTGAAATTTTATGTTGAAATTTTTGATACGCAAACGTGTGCAAATGAATCTGGAAATTATGGGGGCAAGATTAAAATATGCGAAGTTCACTAATTTTCCTCTGTATTGACTAACAAGCCCCCAGATAGCAATTTCATGTCATCAAAGTCAATTTGAGCAGTGAGAAAATACAAGCATTTTCTTAGAAAACACTTACAATTTTTCAGTCCACTCTCATAGGGTTTGTACACAGAGTGTTGAGTGAACTTCGTATATGGAAATCTTTCCATTATGGGAATCTTTCCATATCGAGAATCAAAAGTATTTCCTTCGTTATCTTCGAAAGTTAAAAGTGCCAGTAGTGCTTGACGAGAATGTCGCACTTTGCCGCTGACCGATAAAGCGCAGCGTGTTTTCGCGTGGGGCAGACCAGGCTATTGTACGCACAATCACTGGTCAACATGACCATCTGTTAAATCACTTGTGCCGCCGCAGTGTAGCCTGGGTGTGATTGCTAAAGCAGTTTTTTTTTCAGATTAGCTCATGTTTGTTGTAATTTGTAATGCACTTTCAAAGAAAATGTGACTTTCCTACCTCTTTTTGCCGTCAGAGACGTGAGACCTGCACGTTGTAGTTCTCCCAGTACGCATGAAAGCCTGACACAATGAAAGCCTGATGCTGATTGGCTGATAGAAAAACCTAGAAAAAGTTTTTGTTATCATCCAATCAGCATCGAGCTTTTAATTCGGGCGATTCACAATGCAGTGCGCCACCAAGAGTTTGCCATGGAGAAATAATTTTTCCTAGTGCATTGTGGGAGATGGTCGACAAATGCGCAATGCGGGACATTTGAAATTGTTAGTTTTTCCGGCCAGAAAGTTCATAAGCATATGATTCAAGTATCTGTTTGCCTTTTTCTTTTTGTTTTATCAATGTGGAGTTTTTTGTAAGGCGGCAGAATGCTTTGCCCCAATCTTTAACAAATTAGCTCAAGTTTCTACTGACACTCGTTCAAATGGGCCATGCTTTTGTCGACCATAAACTTGAAAAACGAACTCTCCGTGGCAAACTCTTGGTGGTGCACTGCATTGTGAATCGCCCGAATTGCGTTTAGCTGTTATTGCATCTAGCTTTCAAAGTTGCCATCTTGAGCCTGTTTTCTGGTTGTTGTCGTTGTCTTTTCCCCCATAATTTCCCTCAAAAATCAAAGTCCTGCCCTCTTCACACGAAATTAAACCTGTCAATATTCAAGAAGGTGTCATTACCAGCTGTTCATATGTGTCAAGAAATATCAAAATGTCACTTTTGAGTGTCATTTAGTTAGCTGTATATAGGAACGAAGTCCTAAAGATACGATTACTCCAGCCCACCTATCAGCCATCAGAAAGCGATAACATGTCCTAAAAAGTCAAATTTAGCAGGGAAAATATTGAAGCATTTGATTTACTGAGTAAACCTTAGAATTGTTTTCAGACCAGTATCATACTAGTATGGTTTGTGCACAGGGTGTCAAGTGATGTCCAGGTATGGAACTCTTTTCCCTACTCCTTTTCTCTAAATTTTGCTTTATGTGTGAATCTTTAGGGTTTAAGTAAGTAACAGGACTAACAAGTTGGCTTGAAATTTCCAGCTTACTAGGCTCATCCTCCCTAGTCCGAAAATTTGAAACTCCCAATAGTGGTGTATGAGAGCCCCAAACTTAAGGTATTCAAAACATGCAATTCAAGAAAATAGATTGTGAAAAATATTGAAGAAAAGTCTCCTTTAAAAATTGACTTGAGTCTTCCAACTGGGTTGGTGAAATACTGAGGACCTTTTTTTGGCCACATCAAAAACTTTGGAGAATTTTGCTGGCTTAAGAGTGAGTGAGTAAAATTGAGCACTCACGGTCGAACACTGGAGCCTCCCCATGTCATGAATCTAAAATGGTTCACAGTGGATTTAAAAAGAATATTTGATAATTGTCAGCAGAAGCTAGAATTAGGAACAGGGATATTTCAAACTTGCAGAAATTTCATTTCCATGGAATTTGGGAAACAATTTTGCTCAAGCAAGGTGCTGCTTGTAAACAATCCAAGTGCACTACATTATTAGGTGGTGTCAACAGTTCCTAGGCATGGGCGTGTAGACATCCAAGACATCCCCCATGATGTCATTGTGAACTACTAAACTAACAAAAAACTTCTGTCTTTTTTGTTTAAACTAGAGGGCCTAGATGCCGAAAAAAAACAGATTCCAAGTGGAGCTTGAGTTCGTCCAGTGTCTTGCTAATCCACATTATTTGAATTGTAAGTATTCCAGACCATAACATTCAGACTGTTTGACTTTTGATCAACTTGACTGGCAACTTCTTGTCAGGCACAAGTCATAATATGTATCACTACACCTCATAAATGTTCATGATCAAATTGGACCACATCATTGGCCGATTGTGCTGCGCATCCGGGAAGTAAAAATGACACCGCCCAGGTGACATCAGTAGTGAAGCCCGTCTAACCAGGATATTTTCCCCATTTTTGACGGACTCTCGACCAATCAGAAGTCCGGATTTGGCCCCACGTGACCCTCATTAGCATAAAATGAGCAACGGGAATCTACCATTCACCACGGGGGAGTGTGACGGGCGGAGGGGCTTGCGTAAATTTAAATAATAAAGGCGCGTACCATTATTACGGTATCGAATATTATACGTATCACAGCAGTGAAAACAATACGATGTACATAGGGACAAATACATAACATAAACTTACGTATAGTACAGTAAAAAGCCCTATATACATCTGAATTGAAGGGATTTTTCAAGCCGCATATCATACTCGTGCCTGTTTCCACTCTATCATAATAGCCTTTGTACTCGAATGGGGGAATCCAGTGACGTCATAGTGCTGACTCATCGAATGATGACAAACAACCGGACAAGTCCGGTCATGTGCATTGTCCGCGGTGTTTTTAAAATCTCCCCGTATGGAATCGTTGTTTGTGGCCGCATTGCTAAGAGAACGTTAGATACAATCACATGTATATGCCTCGCTGTGCGTCGATGCTGAGCTTGAGATTTAGCGGTACCGAGGAACAATTTTGAGCAGAGTATTGAATTATGAAGAATCTGACCACTGAGTTGACGACTCAGTCATGGGAAGCTGATAAAAGGATTATCGTCACCGTTATATAATCGCTTCAATAACAACCTGCATTGTGAACATATCCAAGCCATGAATGGATTCGGGGGCCATCGCATAATTATGATGTCATTGCACTTATTTGCTGGTCAGTTTAGTGCACGTGGAGCGTTGTACTGTTGATGAGGGATGACGTATGGGGCCAGGTAGTCAACAAATAAAGCAAATAATAAGGAATGGGTATTAAGATAAATAAAAGGAAAACATTTCACACATGATTTTCAAGGATTATTTGAGAATTTATTTATCATTATCATGCATATAACTTTATATACGTGCACTAATATTATGCAGTCATCATAAACTGCCCATTTTATAATTTCAGACCTGTTTCTAATAATATTGTCTTTTGTACCTGACATATACCGGTTTACAATACACTGTCTATTTAAAGCCACATCGTATATAGAACCCAGTGGACACAAGTTTAAATCTTCATGCATGGGCATGCTCTTCTTCTAAGCCATAAGGAATTACTGTATAAGAGTGATAAGGGGAGACTATTTCAAATACTATTTTTTTCCCTATAAGACACTGCTAGATTATTTTAAAAAATGAGTAATCTTTTTGAAACTACTAGTCTTTAATCATCACTGTCTTCATCGTTTTCTTCATCCTCATCTTGTTGGAACAATCCGTCAAAAGTGTTACGGTATCTAGGCATAATTCTGTTCAGAGCAGTGTTCATTTCATGCCCGTAATCAATTTTCGTTCGATATCTTCCACAATTTCTTGATGGGTGCCACTGTCTTTCAGATATAGGTAACTTAACAAAAAATACTTGTATTTGTTGAAAAAGATTCGCTCGACTGCCCACATGGTCTTCCTGTTGGCCTTTTCCTTGGCCTGATCTTTACTCATATCCTCGTTAATGTACTTTTCATATTAAATTTTGTCACTCCACATCTCCTGGGTGGCTTCTATGGACTCTTTCAACCAGTCTCGATATGCGGTGTTGTCTTCCAAATCAGAACTAGACTCGTCTTCATCAGATAATTCGTCATCTTCCACCTCCGTTTCGGATTCCGAATCATCGTCCTCAAGATCTTCGTCTTCATCATACGTAGATTCAGTTTCATAGTTTTCCATATTAGGATCTTCAAATCTACGGCTTTGCCAATCAGGTTCAGAATGATCCTCCTCAACTTCATCTGTTTCAGAATCATCTACAGCATGTACATTTTCTGCATGCCTCTGTAGGTTATATCTCCGTCCGAAGCTTTTGTCACACATGTGACAAGCATAAGGTTTGACTGCAGAAATAACATTCATGTTGCAGTTTTGAAGGTTAAGCTCCGAATGGTAAGAAACGGATAAAAACGTTTAATATAAATAACTACTTATGAGTCACTGCTCATCTGCTCAATTCATTGCTCATTTACTCGTGAGTAACTGCTTTCTGCTCATCTTCTCATTTCCATTGCGCATCTTCTCAATTCATTGCTCATTTACTCGTGAGTCACTGCTCATCTACTCATGAGTCACTGCTCATCTACTCAGTTTCATTGCTCATTTACTCGTGAGTCATTGCTCACCTACTCATGAGTAAAATGAGCAGCGAAATTTTTACTTTGAATTTTTACTTTACTTTTTGTTCTCACGACAAAAAGTAGTAGCGCGCAGTTCCGACCCGACGCAATCGCGATGTGCCGACGACCGGCACGCGACCGGGGAAACACGGGACACTCTGCACTGTCATGACTGTGTCGGCCAATGCATTTAAGTTTCTGTGCCCCTCAAAAGCTCCCTTTTATGACTCTTTTCTTATCGGACAAATATGTGGCTTTTATAATGGTTTAATTGTTACTTCTGTCAGCGAACGATGTGTGACTTTTACAGACAATTTCATGATTGTTTATTTATATTCTGTTCACGAAAATGTGAAAAAAATAAACATGTACATATTTGTCCTAGTCAGCTAGTACTGTAGTAGGCTTAGCTAGATAGCCTACTTCATTGTTTTACTCATGAAAATAATTGCGAAGTCTTATGTGGTTTATTTTTCTCCGTCATCAAACAATAAATATCTCTATCTTACGTTTCCCCTTCTCTTGATAGATGTCATCAAAGAGCATGTAAACACACTCAGATTCCACTCATGCACGGATAAGAAACACTTCCCTCTCTGGACTCAACTGACCCAACGGCAGGATTTCAAAGTAAAATCATCGACTACAGTCTGCAGCAACCACTTTAAATACGGCCAGCCATATCCTGATGAACTTCACCCATCTTTATTTTTGAGAGGATACGACCTTCCTGAGACACTGAAAAGAGCACCGGTGAAGAGTCGAGCATTGGATCTCACTACACCACTGCCGGCCATCTGAGAAAATCAAAACCTTACTGTACCTTTTCTTAAGTTTTTAGCTGTTTCGGTGTACACACCGAAACAGCTCTTGTTTTCGTTAAGATTTTTGGCTTTTTCGCAAATTTGCGAAAAAGCCTTTGTTTTTGTTCTCATTTTTTTTTTGTGGCTTTTCCGCAAAGTTGCGGAAAAGCCTTTCTTCTTGTTCCACTTCAAATGCCATTGACTTTGTGCATGTTTTTCCTCAGTGCCACTTTTGGCATTAATTTTTGCCATATATCATTCAAACTTAGCATAAGCATAGTCCCTATAGCAAAGATGTGTCCCGAAGATTGACGTCATGGTGACGTCATCGACTAATTTATTGTAGATTTTTGAATATTTAATTTTTACCATAGACTTTGTACACAGAAATTAAAAGGAAATTGTCGATTTTCAAAGGGCATTTTCGACTCTTTGCCAGTAATTCATTTACACCAATCTTTGTCCAAGGAAAGACCCTAACTCAAACAACATTGTGTAATGATGACGTCATCATATGTTTATTAATGGGCAATTAAATTGTGACACTTTTAATATTTAAAAATACATAAGAAATCAACCGTATGCGTCCGCAGCATTCTGTTGCCGGCAGGTGGTAGAGTAGGTTGAGGTCTTTATTTCATTTAGTGTGCGTGAAATCACGTGACCCTTGCTTCCTGTCGAAAAAGGCCAAAACCGGAAGTGGCTTATTATTTAAAAGTGGTAATAGATATGAACTTGCTTTTAACGGTGTTAGTCTCTTGGCTGAGCGTATTCTTCAATTCATCTACAGATGACGTCATGCAATCTTTGATCGTCCTCTAGCGACAGGTTGAACATTTTCAAAAATGTATTTTGAATAGATGTCTGTGGCGAAAGTTGCTGGAATCGCCTAAAAATTGGTGTATATGATGATCTTGACCCACTTAAGACGTGTGCAAAGTTTTAGGCGTATGACGTCATCAGACCGGAAGTTCCGTTGAAAAGAACTTTCCTTTTTCAAAAATTGCTAACAAGTCAATCCGTACAGATATAATCTTGAATTTCCTATTAAATGATAGGGTAAACATTTGCCTCAACAGTGCCAAGTTCCCAGCTTGTCAAATTGTTCACACAGTTGACGCGACGTCGGCTAAAAATACCCTTGCGCAAGTTGCGGTAGAGAGCTTTAAAACATGCACAGGACTTCCACGATGTGTATATGACATGCACGTACGTTGTACATATATGTACGCACATACATCGTATGTAAGTCAGCCCGGCCGCATGCAGCGCACGTGTTGCCGAGGTCTAATCCTGTCCACAGTGACCGTTTTAGCCGATTTTCGGCTAACTTTGACAGATTTTATGTTCATGCTTCCTTATAATCTGAAATTCATTGAATGTAATTTTTTGATTTTTTTTTTGATTTTTGAACTTTCAGCATTGTTTTCCAATGAAATACACTTTAAACTTCAAAATGATTTCCACACAATGAAACCACAGCCTGTGGTTAAACCGAGGTGTGCTTAACTTGAAAATGAGAATCTTTAAAGAACCTGCATTGTGAAATGTAAGGACGCCCTCTTGTGGCTGAATAAATTGTCTGCGTAATACATACATGAAGCTGTACATGCAGATATCACCGCCGTTTTTTTTATTTGCGTCGTGTTTGGCTGGAGGTTTTGGGTCCGAAAACTAGAACAGTGTATTCTCAAACTGAACGAGTCCTTAAACTTAACAATAGAGTAAGACGAACGTTGTTTACGCGGTGCGCAAAACTTACGTGGCTTAAAGTTAGCAGACCAGTAAATAAACTTTTATAGACCCCAATGGTAAATGCTCACACTTCAGAAATTCGGGAAAATACTCACTCTCCAACGTGTTCAAGACACACATCAAATTAAAGCGTATTTCATCATCTTTCATTTTCTTTTCAATTTTTTTGGGGTTAAATGACGAGTTTTAAAAGATGCTATGAAACATCATACACAATTTTTTTTTTATGAAACAACGCAGATTATAAAATGGCGATGGACTTTAATGGGTTAAAATGTGATATAACCATATCCTATCTGTGATTAAAAAACACAACACATTTTTATTTGTATAATTTTTTTATTTGTATGAAAGCATTTTCTTTAATATAAAACAATAGTATTCTACCAAACAAAATAGCAAAAATGTTTCCTCAAAATTCCATAAATTATTGTTCCCTGAAATCCTTGAAAATGTCATGTTTTGCATTGTTTACGATATCCTGCTTGAAACATCCGGTTGATGTGCGCAGAGGGTGAAACGTTTACAGCTGGAATCTCAACCAGCACTGAACACACATATTTTGGGGGTTGCAAAAGTGCCCCCCCCCCCCCAGGTGATTTTCAATGGATGTTTGTGTAGTTGTTTATATCCCAAGCACTTTACACCATTCGACTCAAAATGCATTTTGTAGCCCAATTGCGCATTTGCCAGGCTGCAGTGTCTCTTTAATGAGTTTAATCTATAAATGATATTGTAAACAAATACTTAAATTAACATAGACGAAATGACGCAAAAGTAGGCAATTATCTCGGTAGCAATTCACAGCTTAGCCAGTGTCACAGTCTTACTTATAATGCGCTCACTTCTTCACAAACACAGTGCAGTGAGCACACGCAATAAGGTTGGCGATAATGTACAGCCGCAGCACAATTTTGCACGTGCGTATTGAAGTTAAATGTCCCTTTTGGAGAAGTGCGCACACCTGATAAGTGAGACCATGACACTGGCATACTTGGTGCGAACATGAATCAGCCAATGCTTGATAATATCACATTTTCATAGCAATCAGACAAAGTATGCACCGGCATTAATATGCTTCCCCCCCCCCCTACACCACCCCCTCCCCCAAATTACCAAATATTTATCCACAATTGTATTTTATGTAATTCAATACATTTATGATCACAATCACTTATGTATTGTGCTATGTACAAGGAGAGAGCCCATTTTAACGCCGTACTTTGCACCATTTTTATCATAATAATAGCATAATCATTGCAAACAGTTTTGCATGTACATGTCACAACCACTCTTGCGGGTACTCTCTTTGCCAATAACACCAAAACTTTGAATATCTTGGATAAAAATTAGCATTGAATTGTTTTTCTACCATGTAGAAATGGCATTAAACAGTCCTCGTTGCCCTTTATCTTACTGTTTAAATAAAAAAATGGTTGGGAAAATGTTTTGACCAACTTTTTCAAGGAACAAGAACAATTGTTTTGCCCTTAAAAACAACTGCTTTCTCGATCTACTCTTGACCGTGCACAAAAAAGGCTTGCTACTAGTATAGAATAACCTCAAGCAAAAACTCTTCCAGAGGACTGGAATAGCTAGTTGACTATATGAGCTAATTGCAAGTCCTCCAAATAATACGAATGTTCAACAAACCACCGTGACAGGTTTATTATGAGTGTTTCAGAGACTGTCTCTTTGTTCATATGGTGGTTCCTCAAGGTTCAAGAGAATGCTAAATGTGTAGGTTGTAGCAGCATAAGACAACTTGCAATCCAATACTGGCTGAGACTGTAAAAGCACAATAACTCCACATATCTGGAGGTGTGACAGCAGGATGTTGTTGACAGAGTGGGAGCTAGTAGGTGCTGAGAATGTACAAGCACACTATAACTCCAAGTGCCGGTAGCTGGACAGGATGTTGCTGACAGAGTGGGAGCTGGTAGGTGCTGAGAAAGTATAAGCAAATAGTAACTCCGAGTACCAATAGCTGGACATGTGACAGCAGGATGTTGCCGACAGAGTGAGAGCTAGTAGGTGCTGAGAATGTACAAGCACACAGTAACTTCAAGTACCAGTAGCTGGACATGTGACAGCAGGATGTTGCTGACAGAGTGGGAGCTAGTAGGTGCTGAGAATGTACAAGCACACTATAACTCCAAGTGCCGGTAGCTGGACAGGATGTTGCTGACAGAGTGAGAGCTAGTAGGTGCTGAGAATGTACAAGCACACAGTAACTTCAAGTACCAGTAGCTGGACATGTGACAGCAGGATGTTGCTGACAGAGTGGGAGCTAGTAGGTGCTGAGAATGTACAAGCACACTATAACTCCAAGTGCCGGTAGCTGGACAGGATGTTGCTGACAGAGTGAGAGCTAGTAGGTGCTGAGAATGTACAAGCACACAGTAACTTCAAGTACCAGTAGCTGGACATGTGACAGCAGGATGTTGCTGACAGAGTGAGAGCTAGTAGGTGCTGAGAATGTACAAGCACACAGTAACTTCAAGTACCGGTAGCTGGACATGTGACAGCAGGATGTTGCTGACAGAGTGGGAGCTGGTAGGTGCTGAGACTGTAGTGACAGCAGGATGTTGCCGACTTCGGAAGCTGATAGGTTTTCATATGTCTTTCCCTGAATAAAACAAAACATGAAATGCTTGATCATAAACAGCACTCTACACAAATTATGCATGGTAAATTTTTGGCACAACAAATATTTGCAAACTGCTCAGCAACTATTGGACACGATCACTTCAAGTTGCATTTTACTGAAAGTGTAAATATTATTTCTAGAAATGTATTCAGGTCCTTTTTATGTCAGACTCCACATGCCAAGTGCAATCGTTGTCCAAAGTACAAACATTATAACCTTTTTAAAAATCAGGAAAATACAACATTTGCATACATCACAAAACAAAACTACCAAATTATTATGTAATACCTTACTGGACTGTTGGTAAATGACAGTCTAAAGCATCCTATAAAATCATGTTACCTTGTGTGCCATCATTTTTAAGATAAGTGGTATTTCTGTACAATTTCCAACACTAATTGATCGACCAGCCTTTGGAAAATCTGACTCTTTTCACATACTGTCCCAAATTTACCGTATTTAGTCAGTCCACATTTTCTTTGCAATCAATGATACAACCCATGAATGGCTACAAGCTAGCCTGACTGTCACCATTCAATTTCAGTGGGGTCAGGGAACCAGCTTACAAGGTCATGATTGTTTTTCTTGGTTTTTCCAGCATCTACGAACACAAAACTTAAAAAAAGTCAGTACAACAAAATTACAGAAAAAGCAAACGTTGTATATTCCCTTTAATGACTACATGTACTTGTGTTTTAACACCAAGAATTGCTATTTTCATTTGGCAGGATATTTTTTACTTGTGGAAGCTTTTTCACACTGAAGTATAAATTTATACATTTTTTTGCGTAAAAGCTTTTATAACCGTTATTCTTATTCAGGCAGTTTTTAACTTTTACATCCGCAATCATGCAACATTTAATGTGACAATCACAACAGATTGTCAGTTAAATATCTACTCACCTGAACAATACTGTGCATGTATTAGCATGTAGAAAGTGGATGCTGTCACAGTGTGCCTTTGCTAACAGGAAGAACATACGTAGAGATGTGGCAACTGAAGCAACACAGCCATCTTTACAGAGATGATCTACACAGAATTAATTGATTTATTGATTACTTCTTCATCAAATCCTATGCCATAATTGGCAAGTATTTCGAAGTTGTACATATATACATTTTCAGTAATCAGAGAAATGATCACAAATTTCTAGCTTGAAAATTGCTATTGCAAAGAAATTTTGCCTAGACATGCTAGATGCATAATGCAATTGCACAGTTGTTTTTAATGATACTTATCTTTGGAATGCACACAAATATTTACTACAATGCACGTTCCTGTCTGACATATTAGTCTGGTTGCATGAAATTTATTTCACAAAAGTGCGAGATGAAATTCTCACCGGGAAGATGATCCAAACCAAACACAATTCAGTTCATTTTATTTTTTTAAGAACAAAAATTTTAAAAAATAATAATAATAATTATGCCAAAATCCAGAACATCAGACAATCTGTCTCACCTGCACAATGTTGAATACTGGCATGCTAAGTGATGCTGTCAGAGTGCTCATTGGAAACTGGAAGGAAATATGCTGATTTGTGGTTCATGGCTTCTACAAACAATCAGATAAGAGAATGACATGCATGAGGATCCATCACAAGGGTGTTCCACAAACAAAAATAAAGTGTGTCCCCCAAAACTCCCTCTGGAAAGATACATAACATGTCTCATAATATATCAAATATCTCACATTCAATGTTATACCAGCTGTTGATGATCACAAGCATACATGTGTATTGTTCTTTCTTGTGTGAAATTTTAGTTCGATTCAGTTCAATGGTTTTGTTTACAACTGACAAAACGATGCTCCTTACATTACAAATATACAATCTAAGTAAAATATTCAACAGTTACACTCCCCTGAACCATGCTTGAAGGCTGGATGACGGCACTGTAACGTGGCCAAGCACAGAAACCTGTACAAACGAATCAGAAGTTCAGTCTATTGCAAGTCACATCCATCATATCATCTTTGTTGGTGATGACTGTACACAAGCACTGAGTCAGCTGGAGGTCTGCATGAAAGGGACTTAGGTAGTATGGTAGCTAATACAGCCTATGCTAAACAGTGCTGAAACATCACAGTTTCTCTAACATCTGCTGCTTCTCCAATTATGTGCCAATGCTTGAGGCTGCCTTTGAAGTAGGGGGCCTGGTTGACAAGGCCAATCTCCAGCTAACACAATCATCAGCAGCTTGCCTTCCACACTAGTAGTGGTTGATGCAGCAAGTGATGAGAGATTTTTTAAGATGTCTGCATATCTCTTCCACAGTGCTCCTCTGTCAAGATCATAAGTACATAGTTCTGTGTACTGAACAATCTTTAGTAGGTTATGATCCTGAAACGTGGAGACACATCTTTCTCAATTCAACATGCAACATACTAAAGACCTCTACTGCCCCGGATGAAATCAGTCCAGTTTGTGTCCACATTAGTGTAGAAGCAACAGTAATGGAAACACACTAAAGGAGCAGCAGGTATCAAAGGCTGACAACCCAGTATGTATCCGCACCATATAGACAAGACGCAAGACTAGCTTTGGACAGTACATGCTCATGTATTGCTATATTTCTTTATGTTCTTGGTTAAGACAAGTTTGTAAACACTGCCACAAGCAGAGTTTCCTTTGATCAGTTTACTGTCCACATCTCTGTCAAGCATTACCGCTACAAAAGAGCCAAACTGTTCATCTGCATACCAACTCCATTCTGTCAACTGAGATACGCAGGGGTGGCTCTTTTCAAGGCGCATGTGTGAAGAAGTGCAGCACTTCTGTCTTTTTTCAGGCAGAAGTCCATGTGAGGCAGACTTTACTTGGGTCGTTTGCATCTCAATATCCAGTTGAGTTTTTACTAGCTGTTCTACAATGCAATCGATTGCCGAATCTGGAATATTGCAACTGGCACTAATTAAAGAGGGTGTCAAAATACTCCCACGTAAGAACGTACACATGTACAGCTCTCAACTTTTTTTGTCAGCAAACACTGTCTTCCCATCTGTGGGGGACAGAAACCGTAAAATGGTTGGAAAAACTAGAAGCGTCCAAAGCTGCTGGATCCACGTGCCAAATAGGTCACATAGGGAATTACACCTTGACCCCTACTTCGTACGTTGCTTTGATGACCTCTTCCCTCTGGTATGACCTGGGTGGCATCACAGGTCGTGACCTGACCCTGACATGAGATGTTGTCCCCTCCGGGCGAGAATGATCCGGCAAGATGGTTGTTGTCCTAGGATTTTTTAAAGGTTTGAAGAATGGTGGTGTTGATGACCCATAGCATCTCTGAAGTTCAGTCAGCTCGGTTGCTCCATCCACATAAGTTCCAGTTATCTTGTTTGTTGGCTCTCTACGATAAATATTAATGTTAAAGGGAATATACAACATTTGCAAACATCCAAAAATAAAACTACCATGTTTTTGCGAAATACCTTAATAGGTTGTTGGTAAATGACAGTCTAAAGCATCCTGTAAAATTATGGCACCTGGTATACTGTCATTTTCAAAAAGTGGTATTTTTGTATCAATTTCCAACGCTGATCGGCCGATCAGCGTTGGAAACAACTGGCTTTTTTTCAAATACTGGCCCAATTGACCATTGCACTTGTTTGCAATCGATTACAAACCTATGAACGGGTACGAGCCAGCTAGACTGGTTCCCTGACCTTACAATTCCCCAATGTATGTAAACTGCTCTGTTTCTTCTTATATGGAGTCGGGAACCAGACTACAGGAAAATGATCGTTTTTCTTGGTTTTTATAGCATTTTCGAACCCAAAACCTCCAAAAAGTCAGTGTAACTATATTTGCTTTATATTTCCAACCCCCCAATTCCATCCATTTCTGAAAATTACAGCGAAAGCAAATGATGTATATTCCCTTTAACGTCATCCAGCGGCATTCCAAAATGTACCTGTCTGACAAACCATCTTTCCTCATCTTTCCTCCTTTAGGTATTATTTTGGGTATGCTGATGTAAGAAACATCTTTCAGATTACACTAAGTTATAATCCATCAGGTACCATTATTTCACAGTTCTTTTTGTGACATTTTTCACTTGCCATCAATGAACTCACTGCATCTTCTGCTTTATGTACATCTCTTCAGTATAATCGTCAGATATGAACTTTACCTACAAAAACAAATGCATCATACTTGCATGAGTATTTAAAATTACCTTGGATATTGCACACGATTTCTGTTTGAAAGACAACCTTGACAAAAACAAATTACCCTAATCATTAAAACTGTAGTAAGTTCAACACAAGTACCTTCATTTCTCTATTTGATCAGTATCGCCGATGACATCAAATTCAAGTTCATGTATTACAATTTGTCATTACCTCAAATTACATCTAAAAATTTAAGACATGTAGATAATTCTTGATCCTACAGTTTGCGTAAATTGTCACTCTTGCATTTTGCAAGATTTAGCCAGTGATTAACTTTATTATGCACAATGTTGAATTGTCTACAAATGGCTATGTTGCATTTTGGAAAGCAAGTCTTTGACTTCAACACCTATACATACAAACACAGGGGCCCCACTACACAATCAAACTCCAAGAAAAAGCATGAAATTAAACATGCACAACTCAACTCACAAAACCCCAACAGCGGACCCTCAGAGAACATCCCGTCCTGGCCGTCGTCAATACCTGCAAGTACACTCGGACAAGAGACAGGGAAGAAAGAAAAAAGACTGCAAAAGAAAAAAAGAGAGGGTTAGTCTGTGCACTAATGAACTTGATTTCAACGTCAAATCAAAGAGTTTCCCTCCAAAACGCCAATACGCCATTCTTCGACACTTTTTGGCAAGAATTTTCCTCGAGAGTCAGCTTTTCTGCTGTGATTTACTCTCTGGAGTCTTAAGACTCTAGACATTTGGCACCAGTATTCCAAATGGCTATGTTGCATTTTGGAAAGCAAGTCTTTGACTTCAACACCTATACATACAAACACAGGGGCCCCACTACACAATAAAACTCCAAGAAAATAACAGCGTTGCTGTTGAACCCCTCAGCCAGAGTCAAGTTATCATCCGGGAACCATTAACCTTTAACTCAACATGGTGACCTTGACCTTTGACCCCAGAACCAGTTCAAACATGCCTGTACCGATGGGAAACCCCCTACCGAATTAGACACAAAAATTTCATTTCTAACTGAAGTTATCATTTGGAACCATTTACATTTAACTCACCAAGGTGACCTTGACCTTTGACCTTTTGACCCCCAAACCAATCCCAACTTGCCTACTCCCAAGGGCAACCCACTACCAAAGTTAGACACCAAAATCTCATTTCTAACTCGTTATCATCCGGAAACCATTTACATTTAACTCACCACGGTGACCTTGACCTTTGACCTTTTGACCCCCAAACCAATCCCAACTTGCCTACTCCCAAGGGCAACCCCCTACCAAAGTTAGACATCAAAATCTCATTTTTAACTCAAGTTATCATCCGGAAACCATTTACATTTAAGGCGGGCGGGCTAAATACCCCCTGTTCATTTTCCGTGGGACGGTATTGTTATTAAGGAAGTGTGGGACCCTTCAAGCCAAAGCGGGAGACGGTCCACGCATGAACGCACACGGTACAGCCGTGCATGGTGACGGTTTGCAGTGGGGCTTGTATGTTTAGGGCAGACAAAAGATCAGAGGATTAGCAATGTACCAGGTCTTTGCGGTCGGTGAGTAGAAGCCGCCACTGATGGGTATGAAACCTTAGGATTCATTGTTATAAAAATCATGGTTATTTGTAGCGGAAGCAGGGAGTGCCAACCGTGGGACGGTTTGTAGAAACAGGTCACCCGCTTTCTTTTCAAGCGGGAGCCGATAAAAAAGGGGCTCAATTGAAAGCGGCTCCCGGTAAGTGAACAGGGGGTATTTAGCCTGTCCGCCTAACTCACCACGGTGACCTTGACCTTTGACCTTTTGACCCCCAAACCAATCCAACTTGCCTACTCCAAGGGCAACCCCCTACCAAAGTTAGACATCAAAATCTCATTTCTAACTCAAGTTATCATCCGGAAACCATTTACATTTAACTCACCACGGTGACTTTGACCTTTGACCTTTTGACCCAAAAACCAATCCCACTTGCCTACTCCCAAGGCAACCCCCTACCAAAGTTAAGACATCAAAATCTTATTTCTAACTCAAGTTATCATCCGGAAACCATTTACCTTTAACTCACCACAGTGACCTTGACCTTTGACCTTTGACCTCAAAACCAATCCCACTTGCCTACTCCCAAGGGTTACCCTCTACCAAAGTTAGACACCAAAATCTCATTTCTAACTCAAGTTATCATCCGGAAACCATTTACCTTTAACTCACCATGGTGACCTTGACCTTTGACCTTTTGACCTCAAAACCAATCCAACTTGCCTACTCCCAAGGGCAACCCTCTACCAAAGTTACAACCCCAAACGACATTTCTAACTCAAGTTATCATCCAGAAACCAAGCTACCCGGACGGTCGGACGAACGGACGTCCTTCCAGCCAGAACGGAATTGGGGGGATAGCATTGTGTTCCCATTATCCCTTTTTCTAAAGATTCCCTTCTGGGTGAGTTTTTTCTAATGTGAAAAAGTGGGGTGATGTGTCCTGAAAGGAACATCACCCCACAAGGGTGGTATGGTCAGAACTGACGGACGGACGCCCTAGGCGATGACAATGACCCTCGAGCCTCTCGGCTGAGGGTAAAAAAGCATGAAATTAAACATGCACAACTCAACTCACAAAACCCCAACAGCGGACCCTCAGAGAACATCCCGTCCCGGCCGTCGTCAATACCTGCAAGTAAACTCGGACAAGAGACAGGGAAGAAAGAAAAAAGACTGCAAAAGAAAAAAAAGAGGGTTAGTCTGTGCACTTATGAACTTGATTTCAACATCAAATCAAAGAGTTTCCCTCCAAAACGCCATAACGCCATTCTTCGTCACTTTTTGGCAAGAATTTTCCTCGAGAGTCAGCTTTTCTGCTGTGATTTACTCTCTGGAGTCTTATCTCTAGACATTTGGCACCAGTATTCCAAATGGCTATGTTGCATTTTGGAAAGCAAGTCTTTGACTTCAACACCTAACATACAAACACAGGGGCCCCACTACACAATAAAACTCCAAGAAAAAGCATGAAATTAAACATGCACAACTCAACTCACAAAACCCCAACAGCGGACCCTCAGAGAACATCCCGTCCCGGCCGTCGTCAATACCTGCAAGTACACTCGGACAAGAGACAGGGAAGAAAAAAAAAAAAACTGCAAAAGAAAAAGAGAGGTTAGTCTGTGCACTAATGAACTTGATTTCAACATCAAATCAAAGAGTTTCCCTCCAAAACGCCATAACGCCATTCTTCGTCACTTTTTGGCAAGAATTTTCCTCGAGAGTCAGCTTTTCTGCTGTGATTTACTCTCTGGAGTCTTAAGACTCTAGACATTTGGCACCAGTATTCCAAATGGCTATGTTGCATTTTGGAAAGCAAGTCTTTGACTTCAACACCTATACATACAAACACAGGGGCCCCACTACACAATAAAACTCCAAGAAAAAGCATGAAATTAAACATGCACAACTCAACTCACAAAACCCCAACAGCGGACCCTCAGAGAACATCCCGTCCCGGCCGTCGTCAATACCTGCAAGTACACTCGGACAAGAGACAGGGAAGAAAGAAAAAAGACTGCAAAGAAAAAAAGAGAGGGTTAGTCTGTGCACTAATGAACTTGATTTCAACATCAAATCAAAGAGTTTCCCTCCAAAACGCCATAACGCCATTCTTCGTCACTTTTTGGCAAGAATTTTCCTCGAGAGTCAGCTTTTCTGCTGTGATTTACTCTCTGGAGTCTTAAGACTCTAGACATTTGGCACCAGTATTCCAAATGGCTATGTTGCATTTTGGAAAGCAAGTCTTTGACTTCAACACCTATACATACAAACACAGGGCCCCACTACACAATCAAACTCCAAGAAAAAGCATGAAATTAAACATGCACAACTCAACTCACAAAACCCCAACAGCGGACCCTCAGAGAACATCCCGTCCCGGCCGTCGTCAATACCTGCAAGTACACTCGGACAAGAGACAGGGAAGAAAGAAAAAAAGACTGCAAAAGAAAAAGAGAGGGTTTAGTCTGTGCACTAATGAA